AAATAATAAAAAAATAGTGAGATGGCTATGGAAACGTAAAATATTTTTGTGATAAGACCGACTCGCGACTTTATGAAGTTGCCTTATAAATGGCTCGGCGTTGCGGGTTTATTAATGGGCTACGTGACTGGCGTCCGAATTAAATAAAGTGTAATAAAGTTAAATAGAAGAGCTGAACAAACCCCAGCATAAATTCCAGCTATTGGGAGCTGTTATTACTTATTCTTTTCCGAATATTTTTTTTTTTTTTACTTTTATCACTGGCTATTCATTTTTGATTGCGAAAATTCAGGGGAAAATTTTTAATTATTATACAAGGAGTCATAAGCACGAATTAAGTTACTATATCTTTTAAAATATTGACGATAGCCCCATAGTATAAAAACATATTTTATAGAAAATTTAATGAACTACAATTATGATTTATAATTTATTGATAAAATCAATATTTTAATAATTATGACCATTTTTAAAATTACTAGATACTGATTTACTAATTAATTTAAAAATTTTTCTTTTAACTAATAATAATCTATATTATTAAGAGAATAAGCCAAACTATGTGGCCAGTGTATTCATATGATAAAATGGATTTTTATGATTAAATTTGGTATCATTCTCACCAATAGTCAATTTATGATGATAAGTATTTAGGCTGCGAAAATGTTCTATCTCTAGATACATAATTAAGAAATGACATTGTGTCTCGTGAACTATTGACATTTTTAAAGATATAAGCTCATCCCGATGTTACACTCATCAAGACCTTTCATTTAAGTACCCACATCAATTTTTCATATATTTTGAATATTTACATATATGTATATATGAAAAGTGCATGTGGGTACTCAAATGAAAGCTCTTGATGAGTGTAACGTCGAGATGAGCTTATATCTTTAAAAACGTCAATAGCTAAGAAAGTACAATGCAATTTAACAAATGTCTTGTGAAATATTGACATTTTTAAAGATATAAGCTCATCCTGATGTTACACTCATCAAGACCTTTCATTTGAGTACCCACATCAATTTTTCATACATTTATATATATTATATATATATATATGTATATATGAACAATATATCAAAATGCATGTAGGTACTCAAATGAAAGCTCTTGATGAGTATAACGTCGAGTTGAGCTTATATCTTTAAAAATGTGAATAGTTAAGAAAGTACAGTGCAATTTAACAAATATCTTCGGAAATATTGACATTTTTAAAGATATAAGCTCACCTCGATGTTACATTCATCGCGACCTTTCATTTGAGTACCCACATCAATTTTTCATACATTTATATATATTATATATATGTATATATGAAAAATATATCAAAATGCATGTGGGTACTCAAATGAAAGCTCTTGATGAGTATAACATCGGGATAAGCTTATATCTTTGAAAACGTCAATAGTAAAGAAAGTACAGTGCAATTTAACAAAATTCATTTTTTAATATCGCAAAATTTTAATATTTTATAGTTCACAAGTCACGGAAGTCACATAGTGACTGCAAGGTTGCTAGTAATAATTATTAATCAAAATTTTTCAGGGTAAACAGCACCTAAAACGTTAATTAATATTAATACATCCGAATAATATTAATATAATATTTACTCCAAAGAAACATAATCGTTAATTAAATAGAAGTTAATTAATATATACCACGAATATATAAGCCCGAGTCTAAGGGCGGGTTACACAAACAGGCCGCCGTTTTATTAATAAGCTCTCTGAAAAAAAAAGTAAAAAACAATAATAATGTTAATTAAAAAATCCAGTTAATTTGATATTTAAAAAATATGCCGCGGTACAAATGTAAAATGTAAAACCAACAACTGTCACAAGTTAAACTGAAAATTATAAAGTCAAACGAAGCTTGAATATTATTCCACCTGACACAGTTGGCGTGTGTGCTCCCAATGATTCCGCACGGGCCTGCTTTGCCGTTTATACTACTTATATGGTACCCTGTTGGTGCTCCTCGTGAATTTAATGACTGCAATTACACTTATATGTACACGGCTATGAATGTGCGAATACTGTTTTAGTTACAATAATACTTGCAAATGTGAGGTTGTATGTATGTGTGTGTCACTTTGTTGACACAAGGATGGTACATTTATATATTTATATATTTATGGACCCAGATGTTGGTAGCGTAATAAAAGTGATCTCCATCATGTTCCACTTATTGCTGTTTTTGCTTTTATTTGAATTTATTTTATTTATTTTATTATAATTAAACAGGCGCTGTAGTCTGCTTGTTAGTAATGTAGACAGCTGAACCTTTAATTAAACTCCCGTTTAATAAAAACTTTACAATGTAGGTCATATCAACCCATTCCCCACCCCTCACGCGTCTCAAGCTTTTTACAACGGAATTTTATTAGGAAATCAAGTGCGCTTTTTAGCTGTTTTTCCTGCACAGAAAGAAATTTTATTTAAATTTTAATTATAAATTAATAATTAAAATTAGCGAAGTTTATTATAATAAGGGAAGTACACGGAGAGAAAAATATGGAAATCATTCCTATAATTTTAATGAAATATTTTCCTATACCATTTTAGAAGCGATTACTTAAATTATGGGAATTATACCCATAATTTTTGGGAAACGTTATTATAATTATGGGAATGGTTCCTATAATTATAGGAACGATATCTATAATTAAAACTGTAATATCGGCATGATTCCCATAATATATTGAAGCTATTCCATTATTGTATAGGAACGTTTCCAATAAATTATGGGTATGGTTCCCATAATGAGTATAGGATTAATGCCTATAATGATAATTTTATTATAGGATCCATTCCCATAATTGTTGGAAAGATTCCTATAAATTTCTCTCCGTGTAGGGCAACAATTTATTTTTTAATAGTTACAGTGATAATTATTTAAATTTTTATAATTAAAATTTTCCGGACTCAGCCGTAATATAAAAAATTCTAAAAATATCCAAAAAATTTTGTGTTAAATATTTAACTCAAAATTTTTTGCTATAAATTATTATTTAACATATTTTTATTAAAATATTATTATTAAAAATTTTGAAGGTTTTAAATTAAAAAAAAAAAAAAAAACTAGATTAAATCATATTAAATGTCTTCATTTATTTAATATATTTTTTTTCGGTTTTTTCCACTTTAAAATCTATATTATATATAGAATAATAAGTAATAGTAAAAAAGAAAAATTAATATTAAGATTATGAATGGATCAAGTTCTTTTGACTATTAACGACCCAAAAAATTAACTCAAGGTTTTTTTTCATAAAATTTTAATTAAAATTAATCATTAATCTTGGGAAAAGTTTTTCTTTTCAAGAATAAATAACATTAAATGTATTATTTTTAATTAATTAATTCTCAAGAACTGTAAATTAACGATTGGGAATTTTAATCACTAAAAATTTAATAAATTTGAATTAATATCAGTGAATTTCGCGTTAAAAGAGCGAAAGTAAAAAAGAAAAATTAGCGGTTGTTTATCAGTTGCATAAAAAAAAAAATAAAATATAATAGCTAAAACAAAGAGTTTAATATTAAGACAAAAGAAGCTTGCGATATCTTAATATTTGTACTAAAAGTGGGGTTTATAAGTATAAATACACAAAAGATAGAGAAATAACGAGACTAGGTGGGCGTTGAAAGTCGGAATGATAAGAAAGAGCGTGGCTTGTCTAGTCCCAAAAATGGGCTTCTTCCGAGGTGGAGTACACCACGGTGGCTTTTGATGTTACCTTGTTCTTTTATGATTTATATCATACTCTGGAATTTCTTTCTTAATAACATGAAAGAGGTCGTACGACAGTCGATTCACTTGAGCTGGATAAAGCCGGAAAGTTTAAAGCGATAATCCGGAGAAATATTTATAAAAATAAAGACTTATACTATACATCCTAGATATGAGATCCGAGATAAAAATATTTTTGACGGATTAAGGCATAAAGTCCGTATAAATAGTATTAGACAGAAAGATGTGCGTTTGCTTGGCTTTCATAGAAGCTTATTCCTTTTTATGCCTTATCAAAGCTTTTATGCTCGTATCTACCTCACGGCTAAGAGCTTTCACGTAAATATCATTTTTAAGAAATTCTAACCACCTTCCAACCAACTGATAATATTTTGCCTACGATAGATGAATTAATATTTATTATTTTCCAGTATGTCTTAAAACGTCAACGAGAAAAATTACCTATGATCAGACATAACATTTTGACATGATCAGATCTATTTATATATGATCAAAAATTGCTAAAAAAAAATAATTTAATTTATGATCAGATCTGGTCGATCATATTTGTTCAGATATGATCACAAAATGATCACAAATATCACAATGATCACAAAATGATCATAATGATCACATAATGATCACAAAATGATAAAAAAATGATCATAATGATCACAAAATGATCACAAAATGATCATAATGATCATAATGATCACAATGATCACAAAATGATCACATAATGATCACAAAATGATTAAAAAATGATCATAATGATCACAAAATGATCATAATGATCACAATGATCACAAAATGATCATATATAAAAACATTTTGTCACATATAGTCACGCATATGGCCAAAAATGGTCATATGTGATTAAAATAATCATATTTAATCAATCACGGTCATAAATAGCCAGATATGATCACATATCGTCTCTAATGATAAGATATAATCACATATTATCATATCTGGTCACTTTTATGGTCACATATGGTCAGAAATGATCAGATATGTTTACAAATGGTCATTAATGGTCATATCTAGTCATATATGACCATGTAATTAGTCAGATCTGTTCATATATGATAAGATATGATCACAAATGACTAAAACTAGTCACATATGAACAAATCGGACTTTTTACCAGAATATTATTCTTCCCCTTAAAAAAAAGTGAAACCTTAAACACTAAAAAAAACTTCAACACATAATCACTTAAAAATTTTTATTTACTAAAACTATTACATCCCCAACCAACTTCACATAATATTAAACTTAGCATACGGACTCTCGGCATTAGTCCTCACAACAAACAGCCCTCTTACCCTCTGATCGACTTCCTCCCCCGCTTTCGTCAACGGAAAAACAGGCGTGCAGTATCCAAAGAAATAACTCGCGAAACTCGAGCACTTCCACCCCCAGAACCCAACCTTGGAAGTGACACTCTCCGCAAAGTACTCCGCCGCCCTCAGATGGTTGCAATTATGATAACTCTTGGCGTGATTGCAGCCCGGCTGGTTCATCCCGCCGTTCATGTAAAAATCAACATGTCCGCAAGGCTCCAGCTTCCCCTGGATCATCGCATCAGTGTGATAGACATCCACAAATTTAGCATCTCCAGCGTCCAGCTTGCCGTCCAGCCCCACAGTCATGAACAGCGGCATCGCCGGGTCCAGGCCAGTTATTCTGGGCAGCTTGTAGTTCCAAGTTCTCAATGAATTTGCAGCAAATGCTGGAACATGTGCTCCTAAACTGAACCCAATCGCGTGGATGTCTTCGGCTCCAGCTAGGACCAATTCGTGGATCAGTTCCGCTAATCTGTCTCCAACTTTTTTTGCGTGTTCTACTACTACAGGGTAGCAACCTGCTGCTAGTCTCTCCCAGTCAACTGCTATGACATTGTAGTAAAATTCCTGATCCTGATTGTCCAAAATTTGGCTTTTGTTCAGGTAGTTGTGCCTCATGTCCACCAACGCGAACAAATTCATGTCCGCGTTGTAACCATGGACGATTATTTTTGTCGGGTTTTTTGGATTAAATTTGGTGTCCTTTAAATTGTTTTGGGTGTCATTCATCACGATCAGCTCCGAAGAGTTCCAGTCTGTTGTAAACAAGTGAAAGTTTATACCCTGGTCGATATTCCTCTCCGCGGGGTCGTTCGCGCAGAACATCGTAAATAATTCGCGCTTTTCGCGCATGTTTTCACTTTCCGGAAGAATGTTCCTTGATAAAACATTACTGATAAATATCAATAATAAAAACACCGAGAATATCTTCACTTTCATTGTTTTTTTTTTTTTTTTATTATGTTATCATTGAAGAAATAGTGCTACTGTTACACTAGCGGCAGCAATGACTGAACCGGAATGAGAATGAACGGTTAAGTCACGTAATGTAACTCCTTCCTTTCTACACTTGATGTAACTGCTTATTGTGCTCGAACATGCTCCAACTAGTGAATCACTCCGTTTTATTAATCTTTATAGTGTCATGAGTTATCGGGTGTCTTATCGTATCACTTGATATCGTTGATGTTTACTTATTTGTTAGCTTCTTTTTAGTGAAGGCTGTTTTGTTGTTTGAGGTTTTAGTATGTTTATTTGTTTGTTTATTCGATAAATAAATATGATAATATTAGTGATGTAAACTAATCTAGTGCATCCGCATGTGTTTGTATGGTCAATAACCACTAAAATGTCAGTAAACAATAATGAAAGCTTTTTTGTAAATCCAGGTCTGTTAATTACCGTAATAGCCCAATTAAAAATAATCTCAGCATTTAAATATTTAATTATTGAAGCTGGAACAGTGGATAACGAATCAATAAGCCGTTATGTAATTAACTAATTGCTTTATTCATAATCTTTTAATGGGTAGTTATTGACTTAATCAATAACCACTTACTGGGATAAATTGATGTTAGTTTTGAAGAAGTATATTGAAGTACGATTTTGAGGAAAATGTAGATAGAAATTTTTAATAAGGTGGATGGAAAAATAGATTTTTGATATAAATTTTTGTATTTTGAGTGTATTTTTATTCCAGTTAAAATTTATATGGAAATTTGGGAATAATTAGATATGGAAAATAGATTTTTTTATATTAAATTTCGATATTTTTTTATATTTGTTGAAAAATTTTTTGATAAGGTTATATATATATGGCATAATATGGCCAGATATGGCATTATATGGTGTGATATATGGCTTTATATGACACAATATTGCCTGATATATACGGCCTGATATTTCAATGCATGGCATAGTAAGGTTTGATTTATCAAAATGTGTCCATATATGGCCATATATGATTTTGTATGGCCACATATATGGTCTTATATGTCCATACATAATTTGATATGAACATATATGGCCTGATATTTATATACATGGCATGAAAAGGTTTGATTTATCAAAATGTGTCCATATATGGCCATATATTATTTTGTATGGCCATATATATGGCCTTATATGTTCATACATGATTTGATATAGCCATACATGGCCTTATATTTCTATACATGGCATGATAAGGTTTGATTTATCAAAATGTGTCCAAATATGGCCATATATGATTTTGTATGGCCATATATATGGCCTTATATGTCCATACATGATTTGATATGGCCATTTATGGCATGATAAAGTTTGATTTATCAAAATGTGTCTATATATGGCCATATATGATTTTTATGGCCATATATATGGCCTTATATGTCCATATATGATTTGATATGGCCATATATGGCCTGATAGATATGTCCATACATGGTTTTATATGGCCAGATATGTCCATATATTACTTAATATGGCATGATATGGCTTAATATATCGATATATGTATCCATATATGGCCTGGTATGGCCTTATATGGCATGATATATCTCTGATATACTCTAAAATATCTATATATGGCAATCATGCCATATATATGGCCCAATATATCAATATATGGCATTATATAGTCTGATTATCGATATATCTGTCTATAAATAAAATCACTATAAATTTTTCCGCCTACAAAAATCAACAAAACAATTTTTGCATTCAACTTTTTTCACACAAAACTCTACTGTACTCTCTAAAAAACTCTCATATATTGAAACAGGAAGTCTTAAGTAGTAGAGTTTATCGACCGGAAGCCTGCAGTCATTAAATTAATTTATTAGACTTATCAAAACTGTCTTATACACTATTCGCACTCTCTCTTGTTGCTATACAATCCTTTTTTCTCCAAATTTTTAGATTTTCTTTTTTATTTACGACAAATTATTTCCGATATCAATAACTGTAATTGATGCTAATACTTACCACCTAAATAATTTATTTAGAAGCCTATAAATACGTAATTGTGCATCAGCTCTTTTTTCCACTCGAGAAGATAACATTAACGAGTTGATCATTGTGAATTCAAAGATCGCAACCAAAACTCTGGGTTTAAATTTTCGCACTTACTATTTTATAGTCTGGATCCACTATTACGTCAATGGATGAATAAATCATCATCTAACATCCAACTAAGAGAAAAAACACCAAACAAGAGAATAAGTCGATCCTCAAAATAAAACAAAGAGCATTACCCTTGACAATTGTTCCTACCGCTTTCTCCACTTAGATTTACTTTTTTCCACCCCCACCTTCCAATTGTTTTTTTTTTTTTATTTTCTTTATTTACAAGCTCGTATATTCCCGCAATTACCGTGGCACGGTTCCAGCGGAATAAATTTAAATACTACCGCGGAATAATATTTGAGTCAGTTTCTTTTATTTTTATTTTATTAATATCTGTCCAGTTTAAAATATTAATTATTTATTTATTTATTTTATGAGAAATTATTACGACCGCAATAAGTCGGTTTTAATTTATGTTTATGTTTGTGTAGTTCGAGGGCGGTTAAGAAGGGTAGAAGGAGGAGGAGGAGAGAGAGAGAGAGAGGTGGCTGACGAAGCGTAATAAAGTCTGAATTGATGCTCGAGCTTATAAACTGATGAGACGTTAACTTTCGGAGCGATTAATTTTAAAGTTTCTTCATTATAAATCCCGTATGTCTTGCCACCTACTCAGACTTTGGTTAAACATGTAACTTTAACGCTACGCATTATATTAAATGTCTGACTTATTTATGTCATCGGATTAGAAACTTCGGTTGTGCTCGGGGAAATTTTTGAGAAAAAATTAAGCTAAGGTACTTACGTAAGTAGTTTTAAATTAGCAAGGGTTTGAGTTGATTAATATTTATTTCAGCTAAATTTTAAAGGTAATCTTGGATTATAATGGTAGAGATTTAGTCCTTAATAAAGAAAATAAGAGAGTGGGGGAAACATTAAAGAAATTATTGTAAATTTTATTTCAAAATTTGACGATGAGGAAGTGGTTAGTATTTTTGGAAAAATTATATGATAGAAATTTTGGGTTTAATTGTTGGATTTTTGGATTTAGAAGGAAATTTTTGGGACAAAAATTATAGAAAAATTGATTTTAAACAGTTTTGGTGATTAAATATTTTTTTAAGATCGATATTTTGGAAGATATAGTTGATTTTTTTAAAAGTTGAATTATCACGTTGTTGGAAAATTGGAGAATTTAAAAAAAATGGTTGTAATTATAAAAATTTTGATTTTAGAAAGAATTTTTTCCAATATAACTTGTAAAAAAATCAATTTTGAACAATTTTATTTTTTTTATAAATTTTTCTACTCTATATATGGCAAATTTTTATATTGAAAAATATATGGCAAACTTTTTTATATTTATATATAGCAATATATCATTAATTTTTTGATATTACCCATATATGGCCAATTTTTACGGCTATGCATACGGCTAAATATAAGGCAATTTTTCTATATATGGCAATGTATGATTAATTTTTTAATATGGTAAAATATATGGCCAATTTTTACATATGGTAATATATGACCAATTTTTTATCAATTAAAGCTCTTTAAAAATGTCTAAATAATTATTCTTGTTCAATAACTTATAATTTTAAGATTAACTCTCTATTAAGGAGACGATATAGCGATCTTTCGCCCTCTGTTGGAGATTTTTAACACTAAATCTGATAAAAACATATATATATATATATATATATATATATATATATATATATATATATATATATTCATAAAATGCCATATGAGGTAAAAACCATCAATTTTGAACAGTTTTACTTTCTTTATAAATTTTTCTACTTTTAATATATGGCAAATGTTGTTATATATGGCAATATGTCATTAATTTTTTGATATGTCGATTTGATATGTCAGTATATGGCCAATTGTTACATAGCGATACATATGGCAAATATATGGCAATTTTTCTATATATGGCAATGTATAATTAATTTATTGATATGGCAAGATATGGCCAATTTTTACATTTGGCATTATATAATTAATTTTTTGATATGGCAAAATATATGGCCAATTTTTACATATGGAAATATGTGACCAATTTCTAATCAATTAAAGCTCTTTAAAAATGTCTAAATAATTATTCTTGTTCAATAACTTATAATTTTAAGATTAACTCTCTATTAAGGAGACGATTTAGCGATCTTTCGCCCTCTGTTGGGGATTTTTAACACTAATCCTGATAAAAAAATTATAAAATGCCATATGAGGTAAAAAAATCAATTTTGAACAGTTTTACTTTCTTTATAAATTTTTCTACGATCAATATTTAGGAAGATATCGTTACTTTTCCACCATTCCACTTTTCCGAGCCACTGTCACAGCAAAAAGGAGTTCCGCTGAAAAATTCCTCATTCTTCCTCAAGAATTCATCTCTAGCGTAAAATCCTTTGAACACATGCCCAACTTCGAATTCTGTCTTGTATCATATCGATACTGAGAAGTTTCTCGTCCGCTCCAGCAATTACACTGGCCGGAGGCAAAAAGAAGCCAACAATAAATAGGATAAAATATAAATAAAAATGAAAAGTAGGTCAGATGCTCTGATGATAAATTTTTGATCCTCTTATCATAAATAACAAAAAATGCGGGAACATTTGAATAGCCTTGTATCAAAGAGTTATTACATTCCAGTTTGGTCCCTACATAAAAGTTTAAATAATAAAAGGAAATAATGGAAAAGAGGATATAAATATAAATATCGGGAATGTAAGTAGGTCTTTGCTGATAAGAATGGATGCGTATGATGGACGCTGTGCTCACACAATAGATTCTATCATTGAGATTTCATTCTGGAACTCCACCAACATTTTTTTTTTTTTTTTTTTTTTTTTTTTCTATGTGTAGTAATGTATACTAGACTCAACATTCTACATTCTGTCTGGTCGTGTACTGCCGATGGTTTTTCTTGCCTCCAGTAGAGGGCAGAGGAGCTGTGAAAAAGCTCAATGTCTTCCGCAATGGTGCGGTAACGATAGCAGTGACTCGGCAGGAGCCTTCGATTTCTTATCACTCCGGTACTCCCTTTACTTAGATGTATATATACATATACAGACTACAGAAAGCCCGGAGAGAGATACCAGGGTGAGATGAAATAAGGGTGGCTGAAATAACGCCAGTAATAAGAGAAAATAGTGTAATGTATACTTTGAGCTGTAGATGGGAGATGGAAAAGTCAAGATAAATGTCAAGACAGGTCACGTGGAACCCATAACCTTCCTTTACAACTTTTCAATCAACTCAATTGGATTTTTTTATTATTTAACGGCGGGTATTGCTCGTTATTTCAGTTTTTCGAGTGCTTAGTTAGTATTGTTGGATCCATTTTTTAGAAGTAATGATAATTTTTTAAAGAGTTAGTGTTTAATGTTGTCCTGAAAGGTTATTTTGGAGAAAAATTGGAAATTTTTTTGATATGGCAATATATGGCCGATTTTATATGGCAAATTTTAAATATGGCAATATATGGCCGATTTTATATGGCAAATTTTAAATATGGCAATATATTGTTAATTTTTGATATGGCAATATATGGCCAATTTTATATGGCAATATATATGGAAACATATGGCAAATTTTTTTATATATGGCAATATATTATTATTTTTTTATATGCTAATATATGGTCAATTTTATGGCAATGCATATGACAAATATATAGCAAATTATCTATATATGGCAATCTATAATTAATTTTTTATATGGCAATATATGGCCAATTTTATATGGCAATACATATGGAGAAATATGGCAAATTTTTTTATATATGGCAATATATTATTATTTTTTTTTATATGTCAATATATGGTCAATTTTATGGCAATGCATATGGCATATAGCAAATTGTCTATATATGGCAATCTATGATGAATTTTTAATATGGCAATATATGGCCAGTTTATGGTCATACATATGGCGAATTCTCTATGTATAGCAATATGTGATTAATTTTTAATATTACAATATATGGCAAAATATATGGCCAATTTTTACATATGGCAATATATGACCAATTTCTAATCGATTAAAGCTCTTTAAAAATGTCTAAATAATTATTCTTGTTCCATAACTTATAATTTTAAGATTAACTTTCTATTAATGAGACAATCTAGCGATCTTTCGCTCTCTGTTGGAAATTTTTGACACTAATCCTTAAAAAAAAAATTATTTATAGTCATAAAATGCCAAATAAAGCTTGATAAGGACTTATAAATTTTTTACACAAACCTAACAAAATGTTCTTAATAATTTATTTAGTTATTATAAAAATGAAAAAAATTTCTTACAAAAAAATTTACATCTTCAAGCTTTCAATTATTAAGCTCTATTTTAAATATCAGCGTAATATGTTTTTCATTTAGTTCTTAAGCTTTTTAATTTTCCGCGCAGAAAAAAGGAATCCCATGAGATTACATGTATGGCCATTAGCGAGCAGAGATTCTTTGAAGCTTACTATTACTATTAACTAATGCGACTATGTTCTGTGTGCAGAGTACAGCGGTGTGCTATATATAACGGTGGCCAGCAGAGTTATATGTGAAGCCAACCGAAGTAAAGCAGCCTTTGCGGTGATGTACAACTTGTGCAGCGGAACAGAAATCGCAAGTACATATATCTTGCTTGGCTTCCCGTCCAACGTTATAAATCCTTCTCACTTTCGTCCGATATTTCTCCTCGTCTCTGGTTGCCTTCTTCTGTCCTCCTGGTTGCCTCCCTCGCCGAGGGTGGTTGTCTGTTCACGAGTTCTTTTTTGAGGAATGGCCGAACAAGAACAAGAATTTCTTAACTTTGTTCGATAAAAAATCATTTTTTAAAATAAAAATTTAAGATCATTTATTTATATTAGAAATATTATATTGTTTTTTTTGATGGATTAGTTTCTGACTTTACATTAATTTTTTTTTTTACGGACAGTAAGTTAATGATCGAGAATTCTTATCAGTACAATTACTCGGGCGTAATTGGATTTTTATTATAAAAATTAAAAAATTTCTTATCTAATGGAATGTGCGATGGTGCAATATCGACATGTACGATGATGTGGAAGCACAAAATTCGAGTATATTTACCGGGAGTTTTTTTCACCTTAATCACAAATTATCAATGATAGTTAGACTGAGGTACCTACTAGATTTTTGGTAACTTATCAGACACCTATACTTAATTATACTTGCTTGATAATTATTATTTTTTTATTTTTCTAGTATCTAAATATCATAAAAAGTTAAAATGAAGACTGGAAATTTTTTTTTCCTCCTGTGTGTGCTCTTTGGAATAATTTTCTCAGGAGGATTTTCCTCCTCAAACGATTTAACTCAGATCGATGACAACAAAAAATTCACAGTAACAACTAAGGGTGAGTTTAAATATTTAAACATTAATTTTCTGGACTTTATAGTATATTTTTTACCATATCTGTAATCAGAATCAAAATTTATGCGTTTGTTTTGCGGAAAAGTTAGTGCAGATGTCAAAATATTTCATTTAAAACTTTTGGTGCGAGTATAGCTAGTTAATTTTTGGTCATTTCTATCTTAATATAAGTTATTAATATTAATATAAGTACTAGAAAAATGAAATAAGTTTTTATGATAGTTTTTAAATGATTGAATTTAATTTATTTAACCAATTAAACAGCGTTGAAGGAATTGATGCAGACTTCTAGAGATTTGTTCACATTGTGTGCTACATTTTCAATCTGTCCTGATGTTAAATTTCTATCTAAATTTAAAAAAACCATCATCGAGAAAAAAGAAACAACGAATAGCTTAACACCAAAAGGTAAAAATTATTTTTTTTTTCATATAATAATAATAATAATAATAATAATAATAATAATAATAATAATAATAATAATAATAATAATAATAATCGTGTCACAGAAACTGCTCTAAGAAATTGCTCTAAAAAAGAGGACTGCCAGCACGGATATGCTACGTGTATTGATAATGTCAATGCTCTGAACGTTTGGACAAAAAATGCTATGCCGAGATTGATGAGTTTTGTGTCGACTCATCTGATTGCGTTGGTACTCGGTTAGTGTGTCAAAATAATAATTGTGTATGGTCGAATGAAAGCACGGAAGGAAAAAATTTGTGCCATCAGGAGGTCAGTTACATTAATCATTATTAATAATTACTGAAAATTTTTGAAGTACACTAAAAATCTTGAATATTCTTTGTATTCAGCTTCAGTCTGTTGGGGTCCAGAAAAGAGCCGAGAATTTCCGGAAATATACTGCGTGGTACATCCTAAACGTTGTATATTTAGTCATTATTTGGCCAATGATCAAGAACCAAAAGCCGAACGTAGAGTAAGTAATGAGTAGTTTCCGATAACAATAATAATCTTCACGGATCAATCGATATTAATTTCACTGTGCTTATTTAGATTCAATGTTTTTTTTTTTTTTTTTTTTTTTTAATTGGACTGACCGATTTCTTCTGTTTTTTTTTAGTATTTACAGGACAATCCAAAGTTTACGTGGAAAAACAGTAGTACTGCCGATTTAAGCAAAGCTGTACATGCTGGAGACTTTACTTCTATACTAGTATTCTGTCAGACTGTGGACCAATTTTCATTCGTTGGAACAGCAATGGCCGATTTTACATATTGTAGCTACGAAGACGACAGTGGAAGGTTATTTTTGACCCAAACATTTAATATCTTAGTGCATGAGGACTAAGTTAGTCACAACATATCATCACTATGATCTGTATCATTAACCAATAAAAAATATTTAATTTCTCGTGATTTTTCCGATTTTTTTTTTTTTTCATTTAGCCCAGATTGTATGTAAATTGTTATTAAAATAATTGCAATTAGATCAGTAATTAAGAAAAGTTCCACAATTACTTTAATTTTCAAGACAAATTTCTTCCCGTGCAGATATCGAAATATTAGCCCCCAGCACTAGAAAGGTCTTCACCAGGGTAGATGGGCACGTTCAGTACCTGGTTGCCAGCAACGGAAGAGGTCAGAGACAGAGACAAGGCTATTGTTGCCCTGCCAGCTTCTGGTAATCCATAACTTGAGCCAATACCAGCTTCTCAGCTCATAACCAACGCCAGTAGCCACTATTGCTCATTATTTATCGACAACTGTTAGGATTTATCGCTCTGCCTTGCTTAATCGTCAATTAACGACTTCCAGAGCGTTATTGTTGAATTACCGAAAGCTAAAGACTCGAGCAAGCTTACAGACTTGCAAAATAAACAGATTTACAGTCGCGTAATTAGCTTCAACTTCTCTAGGAATTAGCATTCGAGAGGATTAAGAGACCTGAGCGGAACACGTGTGCTGACCACGTGTGAGTGCACTACAGCGGCGAGATAAAGGACAGGATAAGGCAACACAATGCGTGGAGAGACAATAGAGGAGCTTTAGAACAATGCTACCAGGATTTTAGCTCCATAGACATCGATCTTCATCAACTACCAGCGCTTAACCTTATGCTTGAATCCACTTGCCTTTATGACGCTAATTTTTCCAGTTCTGAGTTGTGAAAAAAATTTCTGCAGCCAGATGGGCCATATTTGGCTCACCTATGGCTTAATTCGTCCTGATATAACCTTCAACACCTATTTTAGCCTTGATAAAGTCCAAAAAGCCCAATAAATAATTTTTTGACAAATAGTTCCAAAAACCTCCAACAGGTGGCGTCTGGTTGCTAAATCTTCTTGCTATAAGAGAGTCAATTTTTAAAAAAAAAGCATCCAAAGTAAAAATCATATCTATAATGTTTCTTATGACCTTTTTAAAATAAATAATTGACAAACATTCCCTTTCAAATTAGAAAAACTTCCTCTCATCCCCAACATTCTCCATCTTCGTCCTAAAAGCTCTAACCGGAACAAAATCCTGCTGCTCAATCTCCTTTTCAAACTTCTTCTTTTCCTCGCGTTCCTTCTGCACCTTTTGCTTGAGCTGATCCTCCTCCCTAACTTCCTTCAGCTTCTCCATCTCCCGTTGGTCCAACTGAGCCTGGAGCTCCTCCCGATACCGCCTAGCATTTTCCCTCTTCTTCAGACCCTCTTCCAAGCTTTCAGCTTTCACTATCATCCAATCTTTCCTGCAAAGCTCCCTTTCTTCCTCCACCTTCTTCCTCTCCCGATCCTCCGACTCCCTCTTAACCTTGAGCTGATCATCCCTAGCCCTGAAAATTTCCTCCCTCAACCTCTCTTGCCTCTCTCTATACCGTTTCCTTGCCAAATCCCTCCTAGCCTCAATATCCCTCGCAGATTTCTCAATAATCTCATCAACCTCTTCCTCCCTTTTCTTCTGCTCGGCCTTGAGCTCCTCCAAACCCTTCATAAATCCTCCAATTTCCCTCTGAAGCCTCACTTTTGCCTCCTGAATCCTCCTTTTCTCCTCCCGCGCCTGAACTTCGCTCGAAAGCTTCAACTTCTGCGCCATTGCAAGCTCCTGCTTGACCTTCTCCTCCAAATTCTTCCTAACTTTCACTAATTGCTCCTCCAAACCCTTCTTAAACTTCTCCCTCTTCACTCTCTCCACCTCCAAAGCCCTCAACTCTTCTTCCCTTACTTTTCCCCACATCTTTTCCAACTCCTCCCTCTCTTCTTCCCTTCTCCGCTTCAATTCTTCGCCCGACAATGTCTTCTCCTTTATCTGCTTCGACAAAACCATCCCAGTTTCTTTTTCCTTGACCCTCTTCTTGGTTCTTTCCTCCTCTTCAATCCTCCTCTGAGCTTCCCCCTCCCTGGCCACTATATCAAACCACAATTTGTCCAACTCCTTCTCCTCCTTAACCCGCGAATTTTTCTCCCTTATCTGCGATAGGTTATCAAGCTTTACCTTGCGAGCGAATTCCCTGGAAAGTTTGTCCCTGACATCATGGCTGCTTTCGAAGAACTGCTGCTTCCGCTTTGCCGCCACTAGATGGCGCCGCTCCTCCTCTTCTCGCAACCGGAGTTGTTCGTCTTTTCTCGCCGCTTCCTCAGCCCGGGTTTTGGTTTTGGTGCAGCTAGCTTGGGGCAGATTGAGTATCTCTTTGGCCAATGAGGCTTCTTCGGATGAAATCACGCTGCGGAGCCTTTCCCGGCGGGTATTGATGTCGTTTACGTTCGATAGACCTTGTTACAGAACAATAGGTTAGAAATTGGGTTAAATCCTAAATACTGGAGTCTAATAGAAGGGTTGAAGCTCTTGATTAACTTTGAGGAGTTATTGAATGGTTACATTGTATCATGCAGGTAATTCGAAGCTTATCATGCATGTGGTATGTGATGCTTTTGTCAATAAATTATCCCGTTAGAGGAACCCGTTAAAAAATTGTCATGTAAAAATTTTCTAAGGAAAATAATTGATAAGGATCTAATAGATTAAAAATGAACTTACCTTTGGTCTTGATGTCAATTTTAGCGGCAGTGGAGGACTCTCCAAGTAGCAGCAAATTCGAAGCCCGATTTGCATGAAATTTCGAGGGATCAGGTGGGATTGGTGCTAATATATCGGCGATCCCTGACTGACGTTGTACGGTAGATTGTGGATACTTCACCCCAGCGGTCTGTTGACGCAACTTGTACCCAAGCGGAACAGTCGCGGTACCAAGGACATCGGTTCGTTTCCTTTGATAGGCTTCCACTTGACTGGAGCCTGTTCTTGATCTTGGCAACACGCTCATCCTTCGGAGATTCGGGTTACGAAAGCTTGTGAGGTTGGGATGCTATCACTGTACTGAACCCTGTATACGCTAGAGAGACTTGTATATATTGGTATATCAAGAGTTAAATTGAAGGAACGTGAGCGAGTCAATAAACCCTTGTTGACTGTAGTTACCCTAGCAACGGATACGCCTGATAAAATCGAAGACCGTGTGAGTGCAATTATCCAACTGGTTTGTCCTTATGTCAATACAATATATTATTTGATTGTTTTGCTTTGAAAATTATGTTTATTTTAATTTCTTTTGAAAAAAGTCTCTGTCAAAAATTTTTCTATCATATCAGATCATATTTAGGCATATCAAGTCATAAAAAAGCCATATCGGTCAAAATATGGCATTATATTGCCATATGTGGCCTTATCAGACCATATCAAATATTACATACTGACGTATTAGACCTTATTTGCCATATATGATTTAATATTCGCAATATTAAGCCATATATGATCTTATATGGGCTTTACTTATTGTATCGGGCATTATTCATTGACATATCAAGCCAAATATGCCATATATGATTTGATATTGCCATATCAGGCCAGATATCTCTCCATATGGCTTTATGTGCACATATATGATCTGAAATTCCCATATATATGACCTTATCAGGCCATATCAAATATTACATACTGACGTATTAGACTTCATCGGCCATAAATAGACATATCAAGCATCATCAAGCCATATTAAACAATATCAAGCTAGATATGGCCATATATGATCTCATATTTGCCATATTAAGCCATGTATGGCCAGATATGATCTAATATTGCCATATTAAACATTATAAATTTAAATATCGTCAGATATGTCCTTATATGACTTTATATGACCTGAAAGTTCCATGTTAGGCCAGATATCTCTCCATATGACCTTATGTGCAGATATATGATCTGAAATTGCCATATCAAATCATATATGGGCATATCAAGTTATGAAAACGTCATATTGGTCCAAATTTGTCTTGAACAAGCATTAGATATTAATGTATCAGACCTTATCGCCAAATATGGCCTTATATGCACATATATGATCTGGAATTGCTATATTAGATCATATCAAACGTTATATAATGACGTGTCAAATCATACTGGCTATATATGAACCTATCAAGCCAAATATGCTTAATTTTTACAAAAATTTTTCCGCAAATTCTTTAATACTTTCTGCAAAAAAAGTTATTTAAAAAGAGAATCCCTCGGAGTTAATCAAAATAAAAGGTCACATATCTCGATATTGCGGTGCTTCTGTTTCCAGCTTAGTACCCGAGAAACACAATATATACAAAAAGCCACTGTCTCGACCGCAACCTCTTCCAGCATTCTGGGAGTTAACATGTACCTGAAAGAGAAAACGGCGCCCAGTTCAGTTCCAGTCTCGAGTTTCCCCTCACCGCGCAATTTGCGGTCACCCCACGGGCTGCAGATTGCGCTAACATCGCCACCCTGCGATACTCCCAGCTTAAGGACCACATTCGGGCTCTGAATCCCCAAAATGGCAACTTTGACATCGACTACTTTATTTCCAGTCTCGAGTCTCTCTAGTCAATGCTCTCTTTCTCGCCACCAACAGTCGTAAAGTCCTTTATTAGTCAGTAGGGCTTCCAGCTATAAACTCGAAAAAGTTTCGACCCTTCTCGGCTAATGAAACCCCTTTGTCTGACCTCAGGCCAGAATCACGATCCTCGTGAAGGATCATCACACGACATATTGCGTTTGTTTTTTATTTGACAATGTTTCAGCTCCGAGCTCCTGGGGATGTATCTCATTACTTGGTAAAGAGTTCCTAGGCTGAGTACGTGTCATCTGTCCCTTAACTTTGCATCTCCTTTGTCCTGGTGCCTTTGGTCTTCCAGTTTCCTTTGAAGGTCTGGTAGATCTTAAGCGCCAATTTTTCCTTCTGCTCGACTTTCAGCGAAATTGAAAAGAACATGAAAAAACTATAAAAAGTATGTTAATTAGCATTTGTTTACGATCACAAAAAAAATGATAGAGTCTTGT